TCCCATAAATTTTGGGTTGTTATGTCTTCATTTTTATTTGTTTCCAGAAAGGTTTTTATTTTTTGGTCTCATTGGTAATCCATTCATCCTATATAATAAGGAGGTAATATTGCAAAGTGACCATCACTGCAACACACAAGATGGCCGCCCCCATATGGTCAAAGATGGCTGCCCCCATGTGGACACAAGATGGGGAGGGCAATTGTGGGCGATTAGGTCAGCAGGGGAGGGCAGTTGGGAGGAACCAGATCTGAAAGGGAGGGCAGTTAGGGGTGACCAGGCCAGCAGAGGAGGTCACTTGGGGGGAACCAGACCTGCAGGGGAAGGCAGTTGAGGGGAGACAGGCCTGCAAGGGAGGGGAAAAGCGGGGGGAGAGGGACCAGGCCTGCAGGGGAGGGCAGTTGCGGGGGGAAGGCCTGCAGGGGAGGGAAGTTGGGGGTACCAGGCCTGCAGGGGAGGGCAGTTGGGGACCAGGCCTGAAAGGGAGGGCAGTTAGGGGCAGTTGTGCTGGCATGGGAACAGTTAGGTGTCAGTCAGGTTGACGAGGGGTAAACATTTGTTTATTTTTAGATTCAATTGTTGATAGGTATGTATTTGTTGCATCTTATTGTTCATATTCTTTACCTTTTTCTTTTAACTCTTCTTCCTCTTCTTAAAGAACAACCTTCAGCATTTCATATAATACTGGTTTTGTGGTGGTGAACTCTTTTAGTGTTTTCTTGTCTGTGAAGCTGTTTATCTGATCCTCAATCCTAAATGATAGTTTTGCTGGGTACTGTAACCTTGCTTATATGTCCTTGTTATATTCATCACTTTGAATATTTCTTGCCACTCCCTTCTGGCCTGCATAATTTCTGTTGAGAAATCTGACAGTCCTATGGGAATTCCCTTGTAGATAACTAACTGCTTTTAATATTCTTTCTTTGTCTTTAGCCCGTGGCATTGTATTTATGATGGGTTTTGGTGTGGTCCTCTTTGGAATTCTCTTATTTGGGATTCTCTACATTTCTTGGACTTGTAACTCTATTTCATGAGGTGCCAGAGGCTAAAGCAAACAGCACGTTTTGTGGTTAGTCAAGAGATTGCTAAGAGAGGAAAACCATATACAGACAATGAATACATAAAAAGTTGGTTTATGCCGAAACCAGTTTGGCTCAGCCTGCAGACTGAAAGGTCCCAGGTTTGATTCTGGTCAAGGGCATGCACCTTGGTTGCAGGCATATCCCCATTGGGGGGGTATACAAGAGGCAGCTGATAGATGATTCTCTCTCATTGATGTTTCTAACTCTCTATCTCTCTCTCTTTCTCTCTGTAAAAAATCAATTTTAAAAAAAGTTGTTTTATAAATGCTTCTGGGGAGGGAACCAGGATGGCGGCTGAGTTAAGCTCCTAAGTTGCCGCCTCTTACAACAATTTCAAAACAACAACTAAAATCAGAACAAACATCATCCAAAAACACAGGAAAGGTGACAGAGCGGAAAATCTACAACTAGAAAGAAGGAGAGAGGCTCACGGATCGGATTGGGAGCCGCAAAAAGGAAGTGCAGCCGAATGTCTGGCTGGCAGGAGGGGAAAGGAAGTCCCCGACTGCACTGAACCTTTTCCGACTGTACTGAACCCCAACCCCGGCTGGAACCCTGTGGACACAGGCTCATATGGGTGGGGTCCAGACTGTAGAGAAAGGCACCTGCAGATTCAGAGACTGGGAGACTGGGGGAGCTGGGAGCCGCATCGGGCAGGGTCTATAGTCACACGTGAGTGAGTGCACACAGAGAGGTCTGACTGCGGAGGTTGCCGTGGCCTCTCCATAGCGGAAGGAGTCAGAAGCTCCAGACTACAGAGACCCATCCCAATCCCGGGCGAGCCCCTGGGGCACCTACACTCTTGCACAGGGAATCAGGTCTGTCAGGTGGAAACTCAGGTGAGCACACAAGAGCAGGGCTAACCGGAAGCCAAGACTGTCAGCTCAGCCCTGAGTCTCCACCTTATCCAAGCTGAGCACAGAGGCTTTTTCCAGTTTTGCAAGTCTGATCCTATAAGACTGTCTCCAATACAGAAGATATCCCAGTGTAGACATAGCTGATACCCACATCCAATTGGCCTGAAGGTCAATTCCTCCCAGGGATACCAACAACAATCAAGACTTAACTATAACAAGGCTGTACACGCAGTCCACAAAGGGGAGCACCAAGAGTGTCTACCTCAGGTAACTGGGGAGGCTGTCCCACCAAGCCATATAGGAGACCAAACACACAAAGCCATCCTACCAACTATGGAAAGCAGCGAAAATGCCGAGACAAGGAAATAGATCTTAAACAAAAGAGATGGAGAACAAAAGACTGAATATAGAGTTCAAAACCACAATTATAAGGTTTTTCAAGAATTTCCTAGAAAAGGCCAATAAATGAGACCTTGAGGATATGAAAAGGGATCAACTAGAAATAAAGAATACATTGTCTGAAATTAAAAATATTATACAGAGTCCTAAAAACAGAATGGAAGATCGCAAGAATCAAGTCAAAGATTTGGAACTTAAAGAGCCAGAAGACACTCCTCTGCAGAAGCAAGAAGACAAGAGAATCCAGAAAGTTGAAGATAATGTAAGAAACCTCTGGGACAACTTCAAGCAAACCAACATCAGAATTATGGGGATCCGAGAAGAAGAGAAAGAGCCAGATACCGAAAACATATTGGAAGAAATAGTGACAGAAAACTTCCCCCACCTGGTGAAAGAAATAGACTTACAAGTCCAGGAAGCGCACAGAACCCCAAACAAAAGGAATTCAAAGAGGACCACACCAAGATACATCATAATTAAAATTCCAAGAGCGAAAGACAAAGAGAGAATATTAAAAGCAGCAAGAGAAAAACAGTTAATTACCTACAAGGGAGCACCCACACGATTGTCAGCTGATTTCTCAACAGAAACCATGCAGGCCAGACAGGAATGACAAGAAATATTCAAGGCGATGAATAGCAAGAACCTACAGCCAAAATTACTCTATCCAGCAAAGCTACCACTCAGAATCGAAGGCCAGATAAAGAGCTTCACAAATAAAAAAAAGCTAAAGGAGTTCATCACTGCCAAACCAGAATCATATGAATTGCTGAAGGGGGTTCTTTAGAAAGAGGAAGAAGATAAAGATAAAAATTAAGAACAACAAATACATAACTATCAACAAGTGAATCTAAAAATCCAAGGGAATTAAAAAATCTGATGAACAATATTAACTGGTGAATATAATAGAATTAGAGGTATGGAAGGAGAGTGAACTGACGATTCTTGGGGAAAAGGGGAGTGGGGGGTGTGGGAAGAGACTGAACATAAACTGTGCACCTATGGATGAGGACAGTGGGGGTGGAGAAAGGGCAGAGGGTGGCTTGGGAACCTGGTGGAGGGGAACAATGGAGGGGGGGGGAAATGAGGAACATTTGTAATAATATGAACAATAAAGATTTATTTAAAATAAATAATAAATAAACAAATAAATAAATAAATGCATCTGAAGAGCTATTTTGGGATTTTAAGAACAAAGCAGATATTCTAAAAAAAAAAAACAAACATTAAAGAGTTACCATTGTATGCTAAAACAGTGGAAGATAGAACAGCCAAAATGTCTTCGAATATAACCTACCAGCATGTCAAAGATCTTAAATTGTTTTCAGCTTTATCAATAGCAGTTGACAATTCTTGTGACATAAACGATACAGCACAAGTTTTACTTTTTGTACAATTTATTTTATCAGTAGGTCTTAAAGAAGAACTTTTAGGATTATTGCCACTCAAAGGTCAAACACGTGGAGAGGATATAGCAAAAGCTGTAATTGAGTGCATTGAAAAACATCATATTCCACTCAATAACATTGTCTCAATTTCAACAGATAGGGTGAAAAAGTATGGGCGTAAGAAATCGGTTTGTTGCTATTTTGAAAGAAAAAATTAATCACGAGATGCTTGCCATTGCATCATTTATCAAGAAGCACTTTGTGTGCAGACATTTCCAGAAGAAATTTGCAAAGTTATGGAATTGGTGATTAACATTATCAACTCCATTATAGCTAAAGCTCTTAATCATTGCCAATTTAACGAATTTTTAGTTGAAATGGAGAGTACGCAGATCTGCTGCTGCATAACAAGGTACGTTGGTTATCAAGAAGAAATGTTTCCCTTCCTCATTAACAGAAATAAAAGCACTTCTCCTTGAGAAGGGTGTTCACTATTCAGAACTAACGATCAGTGGATCCAAAAATTTTATTTCATGGTAGATGTTATGTCTCATCTAAATCAGCCTAATCATAAACTACCCCAAAGGAAACACAATTTTTTTCGATGTTAGAAGAAGTTATTTCATTCAAAAACAAATTATTTTTACTCAAGATTTTGAAAGAGAAACTTTGATTTACTTTCTAAGCCTATTGAAACATCACCAAGAAAATAATTCTGATATTGACATTTGCTATTTCAAAACAACACCTTTAATTATGAGGGAAGCTTTCCTCAACAGGTTTCAGGAATTCAGAAACAGCAAGGCGACGTTAGCCTTGGTTAAAAAACCTCTTGATGTTACTGTAACGGAATTAAAATTTTCTACCTTTAATATTGACATTGGCAACTTTGAAAAGCAATTGCTGGATTTAAAAAACAAAGAATTGTGGAGCTTGAAATTTGAACGTCTTTGTGCTGATTTTAGAAATATTGGAGAAAAACAAAGTGAACTTAGTTCACAGCACAGTGGTCTGCTTTGAAAGCCCTGGAAAAGGAAGACTTTTAACACCTGGAATAGTATTCCTGACTCATATAAATCAACTGAAAAAACTAACGTTTGCTGTTCTTTCCTTATTCGGGTCTACATATTTATGGGAACAATCATTTTCAAGCATGATCCTTCTCAAGAGTAAATTGAGAAGTTGTCTTATTGATGAGAACCTGGAATGGTGCCTAAAAAAACAACATACAAACCTGACTTCCCAAACTTTCCAGGAGATGCAAACACATTAGTGTTTGTCAGTCATTGTCATGATTTAATTTTATGGATATTGTAAGGTAAATTGTAAGGAATTTAATTTTATCAATAAATAATTAAGTATGATAGCAAATTTTATTCAAGGTTTATTTTAATTAGGACTTAGAACTTTAAGAAAGTTTATTAAGTTAATTTTAGGGAACATTGTGGATGAAAGAAGATGTAGTGTCGAGGATTGAGAAAGGTATGTTGAGATGGTTTGGACATACAGAGAGGATGAACGAAAGGAGATAGACGAAACAAGTACCGTATTTTTCGGACCATAAGACGCTCCGGACCATAAGACGCACCAGTTTTTAGAGAAGGGAAATGAAGAAAAAAAGATTCTGAAACAAATAGTGTCCTAAAATATTTTATGTGCATTAAAACCCAACATCACAGTCATAAACACATGTAATCAACCCTGTAAAGCACACATATCAAACACAAGTCCCGCGGGCCAAATCCGGCCCGCCAGGCCTTGCAATGTGGCCCGCACCGTGCTGTCATCACTGCACTCCGCTGCGTTCCATCACAATGATGCGCGGTGACATAGGAGGCTTGTGATCTCGCCGGCCGCCTCGCCGGCCGCCGTACTTGCTATCTATTACGCATGCGCATAGATAACAAGTCACGCGAGATTCAGGAGGCGTGACCTATAGTCCGGCATCCGATGTGGTTGTGCGGGTGGCAGAGCAGAGGAGAGAGTGAGTGTGCGGGCATAAAAAATACACAGCAGAAGCTGCCAGTTCCTGGCATAAAGTGCAGGCATAAAAATCGCAACAGAATCTGCTCTCTGTACCCAGCCAGGCATTTATTGACTGACTTTTTTTTTTTCTCCACTCCATCTGCCAAATCAAGCTATCCCTGTGCAGTTTTCAACTTTTTCCTTCTAACGCAGATTTCCAATAAACTATATCTTTTACTGCCAATATTGATCCCAAAATGTCCAGGAAAAGAAAAGTTGACGGTGAAAGCAGACAATTTAATGACAAATGGGAAAATGAATACATGTTTGTGCTTAGAGAGGGCAAACCAGTGTGTATATTGTGTTATGAGACAGTGTCGGTGATGAAAGAGTACAATATACGTCGTCATTTTGACACCAAACATAATGTTAAGTATGGCAAATATACTTTGGAAGAAAAGCATAAAATTGTTAAAGAACTAAAAGGCAAACTACAATCACAGCAGCAAATGTTTACAAAGGCTACAGTGAAAAATGATGCTGCAGTGAAAGCAAGCTTTATAGTGGCTGAAGAAATTGCCCGTACTTCAAGGTGTTTTTCAGAGGGTGCCTTTTTGAAGCAATGCATGCTAAAAGTGTGTGAGCAAGTATGCCCAGACCAGATACAGAGTTTTCAAAATGTCAGTTTGTCAAGAAACACCATTGCAGATAGAGTTCAAGAACTCTCAGGAAATCTATCATCACAGCTGGCCCAACAGGCATGCAGTTATCTCGCTTTTTCACTTGCTATCGATGAAAGCACAGACAACACTGATACAGCGCAGCTGTCCATCTTTATACGTGCTACGAAGACTGACCTCTCTGTCACTGAGGAACTTTTGGATGTAGCTGCCATGCATGGGACGACGACTGGTAGAGATATATTTGAGGCTGTGGAGAAATCTATAAATAATTTTAAATTACCCTGGGAAAAGTTGGTGGGGCTAACTACCGATGGCGCACCTTCAATGTGCGGAGAAAAGAAAGACTTGGTTGGACTAATGAAGGAAAGAATGCAAAAAAGTCACTGCCACACACCCTTGATTACTTATCATTGCATTATCCACCAAGAGGCTATGTGTGGAAAAGTTCTGGACATGAATGACATAATGACCACAGTCATTAAAACTATTAACTTATACGGGCACGTGGCCTGAATCATCGCCAGTTCCAGCAGTTTTTACAGGAGGTGGGTGCAGAGCATGGAGACGTGCCATACCACACAGAAGTAAGATGGCTGAGCAAGAGCGCAGTCCTCAAAAGATTTTTTGAACTCAGAGAACAAATTGCTCTTTTCATGGAAAGTAAAGGAAAGCCCTTGCCTGAACTGTCGGATCCCGCCTGGCTATGTGATTTTGCTATGATGTGTGACATATGCGAGCATCTCGCCCAACTGAATCTGAAGCTGCAGGGACGCAAACAAGTCATCACGAAGATGTCTGACATGATCACAGCATTCCAGCGTAAACTTCAACTATGGAAGTCCCAACTGGAACAGGACAATCTTGCCCACTTTCCCGTTTGTTTGAGTATCTCAACCACTATTTCTGGTACTTTTCCTTGCAGTCGGCTGGCTACCAAAGTTAGCCGTTTACTAAGTGAATTTGAGCGGCGCTTCTCTGACTTTAGAACACAGCACTCAGGCTTTGACATCTTTGCCAATCCTTTTATAGTTGATGTCAACAATGTGCCCCATCACCTTCAGATGGAGATAATCGAGCTTCAGTCTGACAGTGGCCTGAAATCAAGGTTTCAGGATGTTGAAATTGAGGACTTCTACCCTCTACTGCCCCCTGACTCAATGCCAGAGCTCCGACTTCATGCTGCCCATATTCTATCCATGTTCGGGAGCACCTATCTTTGTGAACAGATGTTTTCAATAATGAATCTGAACAAAACAAGCACAGATCACGCATTACCGATGACAACCTCCATGCTGTTTTGCGGGTTGCTACAGCCCAAGAAATAAAACCGAACATTGACTCATTGATCCTGGGAAAACGGTGTAAGACATCTAGCCAGAAAACAAAACAATGAGCATTTTAGGTACATTCCAATATTACTGTTTTGCTTGATAGCATGTGAGTTGGTTAATAGCACTGTTAAGGAATAGATTGTTCCACTCATTTTAAATTCACATTTCTGGTTAACATTGTCAGTTTATGACTGTTCAGTAAACCATTTGGCCTGCGATTTAGGCTGGATTTTAGATTTTGGCCCCTTCTCTGAGTTCGACACCCCTGCTGTAAAGTAAACAGCAGCATTTAGAACCATTTTAGAGCCGGGCAAGCACACAGAGACCACACAGAGCCAGGCAAGTAAAAAAACTTTTTTTTAAAGGTATATGTGTAGGCTATATTTGGACCATAAGACGCAGGGACTATCCTCCACTTCTGGGGGGAAAAAGTGCGTCTTATGGTCCGAAAAATATGGTATACATAGCGAGTGTGGATGGGAGATTGGAAGGGGTCGACCTCAGTGAACATACCTCAATCAGATTGAGGATGTTTTTAGCAAAGGCCAGCTTAGGAGTAGCCTAATTAAGTTAGTAACAATGTACCTACCTATATAGTTTAAGTTTAAAAATGTTGGCTCTCAAAAGAAATTTCAATTGTTGTACTGCTGATATTTGGCTCTGTTGACTAATGAGTTTGCCTACCACTGGTTTAGGTGATTATATCATCCCAAATGTTTGTGTGCTTGCAATGGTCATGCCCATCCTGACCAACCATCTCTGACCCCAGGTGTGATTAACAGGAAAGTACCTTTCCTATGTCACCCCAATTTTACTGGCATGAGTCTGTGTTCCCTTTGTTGGATCCCTATGGAATGTAAAATGGCAGTTTCCTGGTGAAGCTGCCCAAATGACATGGCTATAATGGCCTTTCCTTTGCCTTTTTTTAAATTAACTAGCTAATTACAACAGTATAAGACTAACTTCTCTGTCTCACAAAAATGATGCAACAGTGTTTTTTAAAAATAATACATTTCATGTGTGTCTGTAACAATTTTTTCCTTCTTCTTAAGTCTGAAATTTCCTTTGAATTTTAATTGTGACTTATTTGCCTTGCAGCACAGTTAGGGCACACACTCCATTAGAGGGGAGGAGTACTATGATTCTCCCTTAGAGAACTTAGTAGGGGATATAATACAGTGTCAACCAATGGTTGTTGGCACCAATTCAACACCAACAGAAATCTCCAATTTGGAGTGCAGTGAAGGAGAAAACTTTACTAAGTGCAATACACTCAATTGTGATTACAGCACAGCTGTGAACACAGTGTGGCTATGAGGCAGCCCTGTGGCCAGGCCCCTCTCCAACTAAACAGTTCTGCTCTGCTCCATTCTGTGCCTGTCTACTGTAGCCTGTTCTGGTCTGCTTTACTCTGCTCTAGTGAGACATCTTCGGTATTTCAGTTTAGCCAAGGAAATGAAATCTTCAGGCTCCAATAGAAAGGGAAAGTGTATTTTCCAGTAAGGAAGTTGGCTTATATAGACAGAAATTCCCACCCCTGGTCCCTGATTGAAATATAGTCCATATGTGTAGGGTATAGAAATGAAAAAGAGCTGTAACTATCACTGCCTGAGAAAATAAAAACAGTGGGTGTTTTATACCCAGAGCTTCTTTAATATCAAGAACTTTTTTTATATCCAAAGATGGGACCAATTTTCCTATCATTCAAGCATTTGTTGAGCACTCTTATTTGCTTGCCGTACGTTGGGCATTACAAGGGGGATAATAAAAAAGTGTAAATCGTTTCTTCTTCCCTTGAGCTATTTATAATGTAGTTGGGAAGATTACTAATACTTAGGGAAAAATTACTGAGAATATGGTACAAATGTATAATTATAGTATTAAATACTTTTTGTGGCCTGGACTCATAGCTGTAAGTTCAGGAGAAATAAGAGTGGTTGGATTTATTCCACAGGAGATGGAATTTAAGCCAGACCCTGATAGATCCAGATGGGGAGGCCTAATTAGGATCCCTGTATATGTTTCAGGGAATCTGTAATTTCACCTAAAATGGTATGCTGCTTTGTATGAATACACAGTTTTAAGGAAGAAGTTCATACCTTTTGTTTTATTTGCAGGACATTTTTTTGTCTCCCAAAATGTTAACACCAGTGTCTATATGAATAAGAAATTTAGTATAGCACTTATAGGGGACAATGAATAACCTCACCAAGATAAGCATTCCCTCTTATATGGGGAACCTAATACAAGGTCAAGACAAATTTGAGCTACGTGATAGCTGTAGGGAGTAGAAAGGAAATATTGGCTTTACCTGTTCTAACACCATTCACTGTAATGCAACCATTTTAAAATGTTTATATTTGGCTTCTTAGGAAAATATTCAATGTGCTCAAGAAGAAATAATATCAAGAGTGGGACAAAAATAGTGTTATAGTTTCCTGACTTGTGTGGCTCAGTGGTTGAGCATTGACCTATGAACCAGGCAGTCAGTGTTTGATTCCATGACAGGGCACATCCTTGGGTTGTGGACTTGATCCCCAGTAGCGGGGAGTACAGGAGGCAACCAATCTATAATTCTTATCATTGATCTCTCCCTCTCCCTCTCCCTCTCTGACATCAATAAAAAAATATTTCTATTTAAAAAAGTAGGTTGACAGTTGTTTGTATGGAAAACAATCCTATCTTATAAAGAGGGAATATGCAGCAAAAACTGGTTTGGCTCAGTAGATAGAGTGTTGGTCTGTGAACTGAAAGTTCCCAGGTTCAATTCCGATCAAGGGTATGTACCTTGGTTGCAGGCATATCCCCATTGGGCAGTGTGCAGGAGGCAGCTGATTGATGTTTCTCTCTCATGGATGTTTCTGGCTCTCTCTCTCTCTCTCCTTTCATCTCTGTAAAAAAGTCAATAAAATATTTTTAAAAGGGAATATGCAAATTGACCATCACTCCACAACAAAGATAGCAGCACCCACAGCCAATAAGGAGGGGATATGCAAATCGAGGTCCACTCCATGACAAAGATGACAGCGGCCAGGCTGGGACACTTGCATCATTGCTATGGCGACGATGCAGGCATTCTATTCCATCCCGCATGTGAAGGGCCTGTGGGCAGCATGGAGGCCCAGAGTGGCTGGCTTGGTGGACCCCATCCTGGCCACTCCAGGCAGTGCGTGCAGATCCTCTGGGCTGCAGAGAGCCTCTGGGTGGGGGAGGTGGGCCTGCATAGGGCAGCCTGTACTCCCCACATGGTGACAGCGGCAGCCATGAGTGTGCCAAGTGGATCCTGCGGGCTGAGCTGAAATAGTGCCTGCAGACCATCAGCACCAAGGAGTGGCTGTGCAAGTCCTACTCCTGGCACAGAAGGTACATGATCACAGGGATAGCTACCATGGTGAGCCAGATTGACATCCTCCTGGCTGAACCATAGAGGTTTGCAAATCTGTGCAGCCACAGGCCTCCAGTGCATTCACCATCTCCTCACCACCTGGCACTCCTGGTGTAAACGTCCTCTAGTGCACTGTCACCCATGTGCTCCTGCAACAGTTCCAGACTATGGTGCATGCAAGTCCCCCTCACTGCCCTTCTGCTGCACTTTCATCAACGCATGCCTACGTACCCACAGGATGTGTGCACATCCCCTCCAGCAAGTTCTCATCCTTTGAGGGTGTCCGGGTGTTCTGGGTAGTGAGGGTGGGCGCCTGTGAGATGACAGTGAGAGGGTGGAGTGGTGATGCCCTGCTCCCGTGGAGGCCAGTGCAGTGATGAGATCACCTCCATGGGGCTAATGCAGGTGCTGAGGTGGGAGCAGGTGCGGACAACACACGTGGTGGGCACTGGCAGCCCTCGCTGAGGTGCCTTCAGTCAGCGTTCAAGATCAGGACCCAGAGGAGGCGAGGAGTTCCGTCCTCTCAGTGAAACGGTGGGATAGTCAGGGTGACTGCAGGGGAGGAATGTGCACTTTGGATGGTGGCACCCATGAGCGAAGGCTGCCCTAACAGCCTCACTCACTTGGGGCCTAGTGCGCTCCTGCCGGGCAGCACGTGCTTTTCCGAGTTAATGAGAGAAAACATTGATTCTCCCACCTCTCACAAAGGTGGGAAGACATGTAGGGAGTGAGCAAGGTTCCTTATCTGGGGGTTCCAAATCTGCCATTTCCTTTCACCACTGATTGGAGATATACAGGGTGTCCCCCAAAATGTATACACACTTTGAATACCTACTAATTCCAATGGGTTTAAGCATGAGAAGAAAGAAACAACAATGGAGCTGTCATTTGTTAAAAGTGCAGCCACAAACTGGAAGGTGGACATTTCCCAAGGGGTCCCGGATTGGAGAGGGTACAGGCCAGACTAAGGGACCCCCTCCCTACCCAGTGCACAAATTTTGTCCTCTGGGTGTCTAGTACAATAATAATAGAAGAATAAACTTTCACATATAACCATAAACCTACTTTTGTCCTACCTTGTTATTTTAAGTATTGTATGACTTTACCCGCTTGCCTATTTTTTTTTTTTTACTTCTTTTTATAAAGAATTGATTTTAAAGGAGGAAGAGAGAGAGAGAGAGAGAGAGAGAGAGAGAGAGAGAGAGAGAGAGAGAGAGAGAGAGAGAGAGAGAAGGAGAGGGAGAGAGAAAGAGAGGGAGAGAGAGGGAGAGAGAGAAACATCTATATATTGATCGGTTGCCTCCCATATATGCCTGATTGGGGATGGAACCTGCAACCTAGGTATGTGCCTTGGTGGAGAATCAAACCTGCAACCTACTGGTGCATGGGATGACTCTCCAACCAATTGAACTACACTAGCCAGGGCTATCCCCTTCTTTTAACTGAAGGAGTAAGATAATCAGAGATAGATTATCTGCTCTTTTATAAAATTTATAAGCTGCTCTTTTATAAAATTCAAATTTAGTCTTTTTCTAATGGCTGGGTGCTTCTGCTTAGATTTTTCTCTTCTGTCCTAAGGGTTATTGATAACCTAAGGGTTGCCATATTTGGGGGTATGGGTGAGTTGAGTTTATTTTTTGGTAGAACAAAGATCTTTGCCAGATGCAGCAAGATTAGAGGGAAACACTCACCTTCTATGAGATAGAGGTATATCCTTGTTTACTAAGTGTACTGGTTAATAATGGCAGATTTTATAATCAAAGAAAACAGGTTAATTTCAAGAGAAACACCAGAAGTGTTTTATTAAAAGTAATTCCATCGCTAGCTACACATTTCCCCTATTTTCAGGTAAGTTGTGGATACCATCCCAATAGAACTTTTTTTGTTTTGAGGCAAACCATTCAGAGACCCAATTTTCTACTTCTTCGTATGTTTTGAAGTGCTGCTCAGAAAGTGCATGTGCCATCTATTGGTACAAGTGGTAATCTGAAGGAGCAAGGTCTGGTGAATACAGTGGATGGGTTAATACTTCCCAGGCCAAGATCTTTTAACATGTCTTTAACTGGTTTTGAAGTGTGTGATGGTGTGTCATCATGAAGCAAAATTACTTTGCCATATTCTCTGGCACATTCTGGCTGTTTCATGACCAAAGCGTGGTTCACATTGATTATTTGTTTTTGATAGCAATCAGTATTAATGGTTTCACCTGGTTTTAGAAGC